TTACGGGTCCAACCTAAAACAATTAGCCCTTTCATCAGGATCTCATCAGGAGTGAATATTACCACACCAGATGGTAGCTCGTCATCCGAGGAATCATCAATGATCATGTCATCGTCAAGGGCTGCCATGGTCTTGCTACTAGAGCTAGCTAGGGGTCGGCAGCACTGGCTAGCTCAAATGTGCACAAACAGACTGCGGTTGGACCTTTTTCGGTATAAATAAATTAAATAAAATAAATAAATAAATAACTATGGTAAATAAATAAATAAAATAAATAAATAAATAAATAAATAAATAAATAAATAAGTAAATAAATAAATAAAATAAATAAAATAAATAAATAAATAAATAAGTAAATAAATAAATAAAATAAATAGGGATTTGCAAAAGGACCGTCACTAGGTGACGGTCGCTTGTAAAAGGTCAAGGTTTTTCTTTTTCTCGCGTGGATCCAATTTGTCATCACTCTCAAGAAGGGTTAACGGTACTCGGTAACAATACATGTACCCCCCACCCTATCCTGCCAACGAGTTCATTGAACTTTGGTAGCTGCCTACCGTAGTACATGTATTAGCTAGATAGCTGGCCAACGTACTAGCTAGATAGCTAGCTCGGTTACATGAGCATGAAAACTTTCGGATCTTCTAAAGGGTGGCTGCGTCTTGCTTGCAGTGACGATTGTCGGATCTTTGAAGCGGTGACGCACCTCTTGGGCTACCCCATGAGGTTCACGGACCTGGCCAGTAGTATATCTACGTGGAAGATGCGTAGGAAAATGGGTGCTGGGTCAACGAAGTTTTCCTGGCTAGCTAGCTAGTTGTAGCTGGCAGCAAATGCGAGCAGAGTACTGAAAATCCCCATTGTGCGGGATAGGCAATGTCCACACGGTCAGGGAAGGGTTACTCGACAGGAAAGAAGTTGACCGCAACAAAAGGAACAAGCGCGAGGAAAGTCAAGGATAAGGTTGCGTCGCCTGCTCCTAGGAAGAAGCTTGAAGCTACTTTTGATGAGTGTACCACCGGTGATACAGAAGGAGGAGGGTACAGTAGCGACGATTGGAACTTCGAAGACGGTGAAGATTGTTTGGGGCAGTCCGACCGATCTGCGTCCACAGCTGGATCTCGCAGAGAGAAGCTTTCACTCAATATCCAGAAGAGTATATTGGAAGACATTTTGTTGGCTGGAGGGATTGACAAGTTTGACCTCAAGTCGCAGCAAGCGCTCTCAGAGCTGTGTAATCAGAGGCCAGAGCTCTACGGACAAAGAGGTGACCAAGTCCGTAAAAAGATTCAGAAGAAAGTGTACAAGTGGAAGGAAGTCTACAAGGATTCTGACGCCAGGTGGGTTAAAATTCTGAATAAGCTGAACGTTTCTGTGAGGGCAGGAAAGACTTCGAAGAAGGCCACGAAACCAGCTCCAGTCCCTTCGTCAGGTCCAACACCCGACCCAGTCAATTCATCAGGTCCAACACCCGACCCAGTCCCTTCGTCAGTCCACGTGCCGAACGAGGTCCCTTCGTCAGGTCCAACACCCGACCCAGTCCCTTCGTCAGTCCACGTGCCGAATAAGGTCCCTTCATCAATACAGAAGAGTTGGACTGCTGGGATTCCACCGGTTGTGAAAGAGGAACGACAGTCAAAGCCCAACACTGGTACTTCCAAAATGAGCGAGTATCCCGAGGGTGCAAGTACGTAATGTTTGCTGTTAGTGGTGTGGTTTGCCAGTGCTTAGCTGTGTGCTAACAGACATGCTTTCTTTGCAGAAATTATCAAGGTGGATGCTGAGCATCCAGAGAACAACGGGCCTTTCTTCATCTACCCAGTTCCGGATATGGAGGCAGCTGAAGAAGGGCACGAATCAAAGGGGTTCTTCATTCTCTACGCCATGGATGAACGCTTCTCGGATCATGATGAAACCGTCAAGTGGATCAGTGCGAATGTTGTTGGGTCGAAGCAGATTCACATTAAGGTCCCATCTTTGCCCTTCTTCATGGCCCCGGGTGTGGAGAACCAAGAAAAGAGGTATGATGCCCTTAAAGCACAAGTCCCTCTCTGCGTTATGAAGTCCATCAATGCAGGTGTTTCGTTCCTTGCTCCCCGGGATGATGCCACTATTTCACACTTGGAGGCTGCCAAGAATGAGGCTCGCAAGTGGGAGACATGGGTCCTAGATTTTTCAAGAGTGGATTATGTTGGAGAGCTGAAGTCATCCCTCGTGTACGCTCAGGCTGGGCCAAACGAGGTGCTTTATTACGATGTTATCTATATTCCGTCCGAGTGGGCGCAGGATTCTACGGGGGAAGATAAATATGAAGAGTTTCTTGGCTTCAAGGTGGGTGTTAGTGTTCCAATGGAGAAAGCGTCTCGCAAGGTTAGCAGAGCTTCTGCTGTCAAGAAGAGCACCATGGCCACGAGGCGTCAAGCGGCGCTCGACAAGCTGAAGAAGCAAACTACAAACCAGTCAGGTGGGATGGATCAATCTTAGAGGGTGACCCGGGACTATTGGTTAGTTGTTTGTCCAAAAACTAAACTAGTGTTGTTTCGCTTATATGTGCAATACACGGCTCTTAGCCTTATTCGCGACTCGATCCTAGATAGGGTTTGAGTTCGACTCATGACGTAGTCCTTCGCGAATAGTCATTGAGACAGGGTTCTCATGACTGCTAGTCATACTAGGTTGTCGATGAAACATCGCTCTAGATATTTAGCTGGCGTGGAAAGCTTCCACGCTACTAGACAGCTACTAGCTGAAGTTTCCACGTGTTCCGGAAATGGACCGTGGAGTACGTTGAGTTATTGCCATAACCTACGATATCACACTTTGAGGCCTCCCGCGGGAGACCAACTTCAATGAGCTTCACAACGATCTCTCTCATGGATTAGTTTTCGTAGCTTTCTAATCTCTCTCATAACTTTCATTCTCTCAAACTCAAAACACTCGAAAGATCTTTACACTAGCTTTTAGCGTAGTGCATTTTGTTAACAAACACAATAGCTTTCAGCTACCCTCAACCTATTCCTTCACCATGAAGATTGCTCAAGGAAAGCATGCGTTCACCAACTTCGAGAAACAGTTGCGTGACAAACCCATTCTTCCTCTCGTGGACAACGACGAAGACGCCGAGATCGACGATTCTCGTGCAACCACCTACAAACTTCGCACCGTTCCTGCAGATGCAAACAGTGCCAAATACACCTTCAAGGTAGCCATCATCAATGGTTCCAACACTCCACGTCAGACCATCAAGTGGGCTACGAATATGGAGAAGGTCTTCGTTGGACTCAACCTTGCCAATGCCGACGACAAACATCGCCTTCTCAAGGAGATGACTTCCAGCTCTGCGAAGAGTGCCTACGAAGCTGGGTGTGCAGGCCATCGTGCCGTGCGTCATAACGCCCTACGACAAATTGCTGTGAACGCAGTTCCTCCACGCGATATGGCTTCTGGAGAAACCGAAGCAGCCTTCCAGGCTCGTGTCCAAGCCGCATGGGACGGTGCAGCGGAACCCGCTCTAAGCGATGCTGACATCACCTTTGGAATCAACGCGGTTATCGAAGCAGCCTGTCCTTACAAGGCTCTCGAAAAACAGAAAACGCTTCATGCGCCGAAAGATGCGCAAGAACTCCCCTAGTCGCACAATGCGCTTGAGGCTCCACAAATGCTCGGACTGTCTGCCGGGCGCCCTAGGACGACTGCGAAGACCTTTCGAGCGTCTGTTCTGCAGTATGACTAGCAAAACATCAGTTGCGACTTTGTGCGGATGTGCTCCTAGTCTAACACTTCGCGGTTGCCCAAGTGTGTTCAATCTAACCGTCTCGCAATACCTGCGGCCAACGACATGCAGTGTGCATCATGGACAGTCGATTGTCTCAGATGCTATTTTCCTATCGTTAAACGCTAGGTGTATGGCCGCAAGGCGTGGCCTTCATTACGGAGCACGACTTCATTCCTTGTCCACTTATAGCCGAAAGCTACCGCGCCCTCATTCTCCTAGCGTGGTTTGCTTAGGCGCACTTGTGACTACGTCGTAGCAAAAACTGGCCTTGACAAATGCGCTAGTGAGTGCGACAGGCGCTCGCGAGCTGTCTCTCTCATATTCGTCGGAGTGGAAGCTCACACAGGCGGACCGTAGATGACTCAAGGCGACTCATGAAACACTCCGCAGTCGCGCACACAAGCGCAGACCAATTGAGTGACACTAACACATTGAGGAGTATGTATATATAGGTACTGCCCAAATGGCAAGAGGTAGTGAGGATGAAAGAAGTACGAGTATCTAGCGAGGGTCGTGGTCGCTGTATTTGTGCTCGTATCACGCTGGCATAATGCTCATTTGACTTTCTCGATGGGACGTATGAAGATAGGAACTCACTCACACAAGTGCGATGTCTCGTACTTTGATCGCGATACTTCGTAAAGACGATCGCATATGCGGAGGTGAACAAACGCGCTCATCGCATCAAGGTACTTTGAGTGTAATAGACAATGAACTAAAGGGAAGGTGAAATGTGTCTTGACTCGTCTCCCGAGTTTGTGGCTTCCTACGCTCGATTAGAAGGTTACTACTCTAGTGCACTAGCGCTGCTGTGTTCTCACCGTATGCAAGCACGTGACCGTGGTGTCTCTCTCAGTGTTTACGACTTCACTGTTTCAAATGCTGGGGACGTACTGCGCGTCAGCTACAGGAGCGATGCGGTGAGAGTGTATCGTAGTGTTTGTCGCTACCTCGCCTCGCGAAAGATTGCTCTGACAATGATGGTGGCGCTGATCCTTGTGTGGTGTCAGCCTCGGGACTTCCGACTCGGATGTTCATCAGACGGTGCGGCCATCTACAGGTATATCGTAGCTTAGCTTAGCTATGAAGCCCATTACAATCCGAGGCAACATCCATATTATTTGCATCCTGGGTTACTCGGGCATTTTGTCTGTTTGGGAAAGTGTGCGATTAAGTGTAAATGTCTACACACCGTTAGTATACATAAGTAGACAAAGTAGACATGTGAGACTTTAGTAGACATTAGTATAAAAAGTGATACATTAGTAGAAAAAATGAGACATTGAGAGACATCCGTAGACATTGAGAGACATTGTGAGACATTTGTGAGAGGCGTCTCTCCGCTAGATACACCTGATGATAGAAGACATTATTATGGATGCTTCGTTTACTCTGATAAGGCTGTGAGCTCTGAAGTCGAGATACATTCTGGCATTCATTAGTAGACTCCAAGTTCGATGATCTCTCGAGATCTTCCCACTCTGCCTGTGTTTG